TCCTAAATGGAACCTCTTGCATACAGATATGCACCCAAAGCAGCTATCTGCCCCATGACAATAATCAAATTTGTTAAGAATCTTCTAACGTTACTAAAATATGACTGAAGTTAAAAACTCCAGATGGCAAGCATTGTCATAAGTGAACACTCTGTCTCTCTCATTTCTCAAGATGAAATTCCACTGCTAAGGGGATGTGTTGAACTACTGCAACCTTGAGATTGCTCTGATGCGTTGCTTATATTTTCCTTAGTGGTTCTATATTGGCTGCTGCCCTTTTGGCATTCACCAACTGCATTTGCTTTTAGGAGAACTAATCAATATTAGCTTAATGTCATAATTATTAAACAACCATCTACCTTGTCTGCTAGTTGACAGGTGCTTTTTTTGAATCTATAATAGTTGTTTCTTGCAATTAATAATAAATGCATGTCTTTTGTTTGTTAGTTTATACATCGGTCAGATTTCTAAAGCTGTCCAATCCATAACTACTCTGGGCAACATATAACATTAAAAACAATAAAAACATCATAACCAATAAAAACCAATAGTCATCTGGAGAAAGCAATAAAAACATAATTCTCAGCCTCCATATTCCCCAAAAGGACTTGTCACATTCCCTAACCCAGGGCTTGGGGGACGAGCTGGTCTTCAAGGCTTGCTTAAACAAGGTCAGAACAGGGGCCATTCAAACCTCTGAGAAGATGCTATGCCAAGAACCAAAGTGAGGGTTGAGTATGTAATTCTTCTTTCTATGTATTATCTAAAATAGCAGTTCTAGGGATTCTCTGGGAGTTTTCTGGGAATAAATAAAATCCTTTTAATGTGGGTCCCTTTCTAGCTCTGTCGTTACAGTAGTTTAAAGATGAATGCTTGAAAGTTAGTTGAAAAGCAAACAACCCTTCCTTGTATTAAGAATTCAGTTGTACTTGTCTCATGTGGTTTCATGGTTAAGCTTTACGACTTCATGTGGTACTTTTTCTTCCTGAAGTGGAAGCAGTAATAAAGAGAGGACAGTGATACGTGTAACCAACAGTGGGCTTTTCATTGTTAATATTACAGTATTATTATCCTAGAGAAATTCGGTTTTTCCCTGTATTTCCATTCAAAACAATCTCTCTCCTCCCACACACATCTGGTATTTGTAGCTGTGAGGCCTGTTTTGCAGAAGCCAGTTTATTTTTGTATTGAGGTATTTGAGAGATCAGTGCTAAGAAAACGATCCTTTATGGGGCTATTTAAAATGGTTTTAAACATAGGGAGCAGGGAGAAAATGTTGAAATCTTGGTCGCATAATTGATAGTTGAATCCAACAGTGGTGTAAAGTTTAGTTTCTAACAGTTTTGCAAAAGATAATCTTTTCTCTTGGTTTTTATATATAAAAATGATAACTATTTATAATTTAACAGAAAAAACTATGGTGAACTATGTTCCATCATTCCCAACTTGGCCAGAGGGAACAGATACCAATAAGAAAACTAAGGTATTTCAAGATAAGGTGTGGGACAACTTGGCTAGAGAGGAGCTGCTAATTGCAAATTGTAGAGGGAAGAGGAAATGGCCTTGAGGGATAAGAGGAAGAGCCACTACCAAGGCAGAAATCAGACAAGTGTGTCTTAAGTCCATTCTGAGAAATTAATTTGAGAAAATATCTCAGACAGGCCCCACCCTAATTCACACAAAGATAAAGGGAGGGAGGAGGAAAGCATATTCAAGATTCTCCTACTATAGCTGTTCCAATAAAAGTAATTTTAGACCTATATGACATTAGCCTGGCTAATACCCTATAGGGCTGACACAAATTTCATCTTGCTAAGGAGCATCAAAAGTTCTTTTAGAGCATTTTTTCCAACATCGTAGTAGAATATTTCGTGCACTGCTATGAGAATAAGGAAGAAGTTGTGGCCTCCAAAGCTGACACACCTGTTTTTCCAGACATATAAATGATGATGATATATAAATATCATCATAAAATATTTCTATTAGGACATTAGCATCTGTGACAATACTTCCTCTAGTTGGTTTGCATTTTAGGTGTGAGAGAATACAGTAGTGCAGTACTAATAAGCTATGTTGGTAGTTCCTCTTCAGAGCACCAGGCATTTATACTACCTGTAAAATATAATCTTTTCTTTATTTTCTGATGCCTTCAGGACTGGAATATGCCTCTTCCTATAAAACACTGAGAAACACAGTTATAAAAGTGAGGCTTTTATCTATCTTAGTGCTTTGAGACTGTTGCTCCAGTGCTCTTCTTAGCTTTCCTTATACAGAATCTCCCTCATTGGTCTGAGCCCTTTGTCCAATTCTTATTCCCACTTGGTTAGGTTGTGTCAGGTTCAGCCCAAGAACAGGGAGACGGTCCAGAATCAGTTCAGCTCTTTTATTAGCTTACACCTAATCGACAGAATCTCACCAGACTAATTCTAATCCCCAACAACAGCAACTATAACCATGATGCCCTTGGGGGGGCCAGCCTCCTTCTCTTGGCTTTCCCACACTCCAGCTGGGGGCCGAGGAGGTGCTTTCCCTGGAACCTCTCTTCCCCCCTCCTGGCAATCTTGAAGTTCCATTCCAGAATCCTCCCCGCTCATGTCTTCCATCACAGGTTGGACCACTGCATCATCAGTAGACAAATTGGGCTTCCATCTGGGGCGAAAAAGAAGCAATAAGGGAGGGAGTTATGAACAAAATGTTAGTCATCAAGGGGCTATGTTTGCATGCAATTGCATCCTTGTGCCCAAGAAGCACTCTACTGGAGTGGAAAAAAGTACTTGAGAGCTCTGAAGTGAACTCTTAATTTGCATTGCATAAGATTATTGAGTCTCTTTTGCGAGTATTGATTCCTGCATCACCCAGCCAGCATATCTGAATCTTGTGAGACCTTCAGAAGCACTGATTAATCAATGTGAAATGTGGTTCAAGGCAAACATTTCTCTACACATGTGTGTTTATTCCTTTTGGAAATGCTTGGGAATGTTTAAGGGTGTCTTTGGAATACAGCTGATATAGTTCTCTGAGCATCTGAGTATCTTATTTATCACCTCCTCCTGAAATAAATCTTTCCAGTTATCAATTATTTTTGATGCATTCCATATTTATAATATTACCCATATGATGTGCCACATAACTTAAGAGGGTGTTACACTTAGGTCAGACTAGTTTATAAGCTGGGAGTTGCAGTGACAACATACCCAGAGGTTGCCATGTTGGAGTGTCTGGGCCATGCAGCATAGTAATCTTGTGGGTAAGTATAAAATCCATAGTTAATTGATGATTGCTTCTCCAATACTCCCCCCAAATATTGTTTCAGTAACTGTGAATTCAGCTGTGATTCACATTAACTATGCAACTCTGAACTTTGAGCTTGGTGGGGTTTAAGCGATTCAATGTCTAGGCATGCCTGAACTGTTCTCTGCCTGGCTGTGGAATGTCACTTCCCATCCCCTACCCCCATATGGTTGTCTTTTTGCTGATGAAAATTATCGGGGAGGGGGAGGCTTGTATTTTTTGTATACAGGTAGTCCTCACTTGATGATCATAATGGGGACCAGAATCTCGATTGTTGAGCAAAGCGGTTGTTAAGCGAGGCACCCACGTGACTCCTTTACTCAATGACTGCAATCCAGGCACTCCTGGTTGCAGTCATTAAGCGATCTCCCAGATTGTTAAGCAGATGGAGCGAAGGAGCTGTCTGCAGAGCTGAAATCTTCCCAACAGGCAGCTCTTTAAGAGCAAAAGGGCTACCTGCCAGACATTTTCAGCTTTGTGTGGAGCTGAAATCCTCCCAGCAGGCAGGCCTTTTGCTCTCAAATGTTCCTGCAGCCCACTGAGGGGTTTCCCCTCCCCTCAGTGCATGGAGCGAAAGAGCTGCCTGAAGGATTTCAGCTCCGCGTGGAGCTGAAATCCTTCCGGCAGGCAGCCCTTTCACTCTCAAACATTCCTGCAGCCCGCTGAAGGGTTTCAGCTCCCCTCCATCCCTTCCGCTTGCAACCTTCCCTACAGGCTTCCACATTAAGTTTCTGGGGAAGCCGGCAGAGAAGATTGCAAATGGCGATCACATGATTGCCAGGCACTTGGCAACTGGTTGTAAATGTGAGTCAGTTGCCAAGTGCCCAAAATGCAGCCTTGTGACTGCAGGGGTGGTGGTGATTTTACAATGGCCAGAAGTGCTTTACGGGCTGTAAACCCTTTCCAAATCCGTCGTAACTTTGAACCATCATTAAAAGAATGGTCATTAAGTGAGGACTACCTATATCTGTATTAATATTCAATTATAACAAAGAGTCCATTACAAGTCTGGTATAACTCATTATCTATTGTAATACAGATCTTGAATTTATTAGTAGCAGCAAGTCATTTCTCTCCCATCTCCCCAACCCTTTTTTTTCATTGATTAGCAGAGACTGAAAACCTCAGCAAAGACAAACTTGCATGGTTTTTGTCTGTTTTTTTTCCTGATGCAGGACCAATAGTTTCACTGGCAACTGAAAATACATTTTGCAAATGCTGCTATGGTAAGCTTTTTTTGGTGTGGGCTTCTGCAGTAGCGGTTGTTTTTGCGAGGAGGTTAGCTTAAATGTTGAAACTTAAGTTTAACAGGGAATTTAAACCTGGAAAAGTTTGAAATCAGCGATTTGATTCCTAAGAACATTATTCATGTTTGCTGGAAGGAATTCCTACTTGTCCAGAGAGAGGAAAGGTTGCAGTGAAGAAAAGAAGTTGTTTCACATCCTGCACATTGAGTAGGGCACCACTGTCAGCACCAGTTCTTGGTATGCCAGAATGAATTGTATGTGTTCAAATATATCCTGGTGTATTAGATTTTACCCACATGTCAGTGGAATCCCTTATTTGATATAAGAGACTAAGGTTCAGTGAAGGCTCCCCTCTGGAGCAAAGGAGGAGGGGAGAACATTCTTGCAGAGTTTGCAATAGCCCCTTGCACCATCTTTCATGCTATTCTGGAAAGCATAGACGCCACCCAGAGTCGCTTTGTGTGAGATGGGCAGCTATATAAATGTGACATAAATAAACAAATAGTTAAGTACACATCTCAGAAGGCTGCAAGAGAAGCAGAATTCCCTGTCCCATTTTCTCCAAGCAGGAGTTGCCTGTAAACAGACTGCTATTTGCAGGAACTCTGATGAAATGTCATTGGGTCTTGCTGTTAGAGTTGAGAACTTAGAGGCTTGCCCATCCAAGTGCTGTGGTGTGTGTTGGACTATAGCTATCATAATTTCCATCCAGCATAGTCAGCAGGCTATGGGTCACCACTGATAAGAATTACAAGACTTCCTGTCCACTGCATCTCAGGGGCATCGGGTTTGAGAAGGCTGATAGATGTTGCAGGTATCATTATCATGAGTAATTATGTTAATGTCACTAGACCTAAAGGAAATCAGTGGGGTCCTCATACTGATTCCATTAAACTGTCAAACAGCAGAATTCACAGTGGGTTGAACTGGCTACTATAAAGAGATGGAAGAGCACGCTACTACTTTAGCAATTATCATAGGTGGGAAAAGTCCACAATAAACACATGACACTTGATCTTGTGTAAATAGCCCACGAAGCAAAGATTTAACAGCCAGAGTTCAAAGTCTTTATCTGGAAGTTGTTCCTCTAAAATTTCAAAGTTTGTGTGCATTTTAATCACAATGAATAAGATCAACTATGTAATATCTTTCATTAGAATCCCACAAGATAATGTTTCTGAAGCTGTGCTTAATAGCAACATAAATGTGGTCTAGAAAAAGGCATCTTTTACATGATATTAACTCACATGTACTTAATTCCAGTTTGGTTTGATAAGACATGTTTCATGTGATCTTTTCAAGCCAGTTCTACTATTTTTTCAATTTGTAAATGGCTGAGCTTTCAAATATGTCACATGCTTTCTATTCACATGTAAACCTTTAAATTGTAGGTAGTTGCCCCTGTTTGTAGTTCTCCCTGTGGCAGAAATTCTTGTAGATAGAGAGGTGGGGAGTTGACTAGCAGGTACAGGTAGTCCTCATTTGGCCACTGTCTCATTTAGCAACCATTTGCAGTTACAACAGTGGTGATAAAGTAACTTTGTGACCAGTCCTACATTTGCAACCTTTCCAGGTCTGTAAAGCAAAGGAAAGCTGAAGTAAGATCATAAGCAGTCGCGGTTTCACTTAGTGACCACTTCGCTTAACCAAGTTGCCAGTCCCAATTGTGGTTGCTAAACAAGGACTACCTGTAATAGAAAGCAAACACTGGACTCTCCAAGATGTAGAGGACCTGCTGAAGCTTACTCTTCCCAGTCCCTTGAGCATTCAGGGATAGGGGTTGAAAACAAAAACAGACTCTTTGGAGCCTCAGCGGTCCATAGCAAAGAACTCAAAGTACTAACCAAGGAAGTAAATTGATCTGGCAGCAGCAGTTTGAGCTGTAATAGCAATTCTCCTGCTATTACACCAATAGTGTCAGGCCTAGCCCAAGGAACTCCAGGAGATCATGCAAATTCTGTTCAGCACGTTTATTAGCTACAACCTCTATCAAGAATCTTCCCAGACTGAAACTCTGTTCCCACAGTTGCTATGAAACCAGAGTGAATTCCTCAGGGAGGTGCCAGCCTCATCCTCTTATCTCTTCCTCGCCCTTCTG